CCAGTTTCGCTAGTCCCAGATCTCTGGCGGTTTCAGGGATCAGCGACACCTTTACCAATCTCCCCCCTCGTTGGAGCTCAAACGACGCAGTTCGACGATGACGGGCTCAGTTTTTGTCACAACCCAACATGTTTAAATCGCTTTTGAAACATGTTAGCGCTAAGATGATGACGGGGTCTGTTTTCAACTGCGACCCCCAGGGCTGTGCCCAATACTCAAGAGCTTCTAAATATCTCTACTAGCCTTGCTACGTTATCCTCGAAAGTGCTCGAGGCTTGGCTGTCGGGCTCCCAGGAGCCTTCCATGATACTACGAAGCCGAGCGACATCTTCATCTTCTTCTCCAGGGTCTGGCACCGTAATGAGGCTGTCCTGCGACATGGCATCTTCTTCTTCATCGGTCACCTCTATCGGCACGGGGTCTTGCTGTATCATCTCTATCGGCACGGGGGCTGGCTGCAAGACGAACGGGTGCTGAGTGGCATAGTCGAATGGGCACTCGAACACGGCAGGGTCGGCTTGGTCGTCGTGAGCGGCGGAAGCGCAGCTGTAGAAGGACGTGTTCTCCAAGTGGTCGAACACGTATACTCGATGGCCATGCGTGGGGCAGATGGGCAAGCGCTCAACTGCAACGTTGTTGACGTCCGCGTCGGTAACGGTGAAGCCGCACTGCAGGCACAACCACTGCCCTCGAAACTCGGAGCCGCGAACCCGAACAGGACTCCACTCCATCCTCCTGTCTGACGTGTTCCTGAACTCACCGTTGGCCATGATGACGCGCGGGCAATGCAGCATCGCGACGTGAGCTGGCACGGGCGGCATGTAGTTCATGATGTCTGCGGCCGCGTTGTCGATCGCTGGCCTCTCGTCCCACGGAGATGGGCCAGTCGCTGCTGCCACCGACGCGTCGACGTTCTCCCGAATGCTCAGATGCACAGCCCGACAGACAGGGCATATGATGGAGCCATCGCCCTCAATGCACTCAGCGACGCAGTGAACGTGAAACGCGTGAGAGCACGGTAGCGTGAACCCCTGCTCCGATACAATCTCCAAACAGATCGCGCAAGCCATCGTTTGAGCCAAGACGGCTACGCGTAATATTGATGGCGACGGGTGCCCGAGGATGGCCAAGGGTGCCCCTTGGTACCCCTTGGCCCCCTTTGGTACCACTCCTCGGTCCCCCTTGGTCTCCTCGGTCCCCTTGGTTCCCCTGGGCCCCCCCTTGGTCCCCCAGGGGGTAGCATTTCGGGGCGGGGGCCCAGAGGTCCAACCCAATGTGACGATGGTGGGTGCTTTAATCGTTGACCATGGCAGATGATGATAACGATGACGACGACGCAGGCGACCCAAAAGGAGAGGCCCAACAAGAGGTCGCCTTTCGGGGCGGGAGCCCAAAGGTCCAACTGGGCACCCAAGGCGAGCAGCCAAGGGGAAGCCAAGGCTGGGCCCCAGTGTGACGATGGTGGATGCTTGAAGCGTCGACGATGGCGGATGACGATAACGATGACGACGACGCAGGGAACCCACAAGAGGCCCAAGGGGAGATCGCCTTTCGGGGCGGGAGCCCAGAGGTCCAACTGGGCACCAAAGGCGGGCGCCCAAGGCGAGGCCCAGGGGGAAGGCAAGGAGGGGGTGTACATATTTTCCCGGAGCAAAATCCAAACCAGAACTGTTGCCAAAAGTTCTGGTTTGGATTTTCGAACGTAGCCCCCCCCGAAGGTAGTAGGTTGCTGGTGGTAATGCTGGTGATGATGATGTTGTCAGCTCTTTTTTTGCACGGGGTGGCACCCAGGTGCGCGCTGGGGTCTAGGCTGCGGGGTTCGGATACATCGACCTCAGAAGTTTCGCCGCCTTGAAGGCCAAGTTCGCGTCGTCGCCGAAACCAAACTGCACCCCGCCTTTCTTGTTCAACTTCTTGCCTTCGAACATGGCGACGACGGCGTCGCCACCGAGCCCAAGGAAATTCTCGGGGATCTCGGTCACGCGGTCCACGTAGAAGCAAGGAGAGCGGTGGAGATCACGAAGAGAGATGGTGCCGCCATCAACCGCGACAGCGTAGCACGTCGCAAGTTCGTTGCTGTCTGTGCCAGGGAACCCTTGCAATCCCCTCCTGGCCTCCTCGGAGATGCGGTCGATGTTCTGCCTGATCTTCTCTTGAATGCCTGATGGTTTCGGAGCTGCCGTCGGCGTTGGAGTTGTCTTTGCCTTCGCCTTTGGAGTTGTCTTTGCCTTCGCCTTTGGAGCGGAAGCCGGTTCTTCGTTTTCCACTGCGCCAGCTGGCCTCTTCCGAGCACTCGCGGGCTTCCCCTTGTTGGTCTTGTGGCCGGCCTTGGGCCGGCTTGCGCGGGTCTGCTGGCGTGTAGTCGATCGCCCCATCATCTTTTAGAGCAGAATTTGGTTCAAGTTGCAACTCCATGTTGTACTCGGGCCACGTGGCGACCAGTCGCCCCTGCTCTCCGCACTTGAACTTGGCCATCTCGCGGGACCCGTCTGACATTACCAAGTAGGACTCCCCAGTGCTGACGTCGAACCGTTTCAAGACAGGGACGACTTCCTCCTCGCTCGACGCGTCCTGCGCTGCCCTGAAAGCTGGCAGCGGGTGCGGGCGAGTCTTTCTCACTGAAGCCGCCCCCTTGTCGGCGTCGATGACGTTGTAAATGTCACGTAGCTCCTGTGGGTGAGACGACTCGCGAGCCTTCGCCTGCCCGCTCGCCCCCAGCTTGTTGAAGTCGTCGGCCTTGCTGCGAACGTGGGACAGCATGACCCTGACCACGTATGCGCCATTCTTGTGCCCCTCCTCACGGGTGTACTCGTTGAGTTTGCACCACCCATCCCACATCGTGGAGTGGGCCTCCTTAGTGGCGCACCTCTTGATGGCGAGCTCCACGTCGGACTGAAGGAAGTACCCTCCTCTCGGGTCTACCTGCATCAAGCGTTTCAGCGTTCCAGAGAAGGTTACCAGGGCGTCCACGTCGACACCGATTTTCATGTCTGTGCTGCTGTACTTGAACCCACCGCGGAACAATACATCTCCGAAGTCAGGTTCGAGGGCTTCCACCAGAATGTTATCCGCTGTCTGGTTCGCTTCCTCCGGTGGCGCCCACGCAGCAGGATGCTTGGAAGCCATGTGTAGGATATGGAAAGAAAAATGAATGACTAGTGGAATCGCTAACATCATTGCCACTGGGCCCAAATGGCTACGGCGGCGACGGCGGCGATGTTGAGAAAACGACGATGACGACGATGAAAGGGGGGCCCAAGGAGAGGCCCCAACGGAGGTCGCCTTTCGGGGCGGGGGTCCAGAGGTCCAACTGGGCACCCAAGGCAGGCACCCAAGGGGAAGCCAAGGCGGGGCCCCAATGTGACGACGGTGGATGCTTTAAGCGTCGACGGCGGATGACAATAAAGAGGCCCAAGGGGAGATCGCCTTTCGGGGCGGGAGCCCAGAGGTCCAACTGGGTACCCAAGGCAGGCACCCAAGGCGGGGCCCAGGGGGAAGGCAAGGTGGGGCCCCTCAGCGCACAGCCCAAAAGGCTGGGTTTGTGGTTTGTTACGTTGTGTTATCAGTTCATTCTTCTGTTTGTCTTCTGTTTGCGTTTTTGATTTAGACGCAATTGTCATCAAACGCTTGTTTTTAGATCGCGAAAACATGTCGCGATAGCGTTCATATCTAAAAATATTTGAACCTTCAAATCTTCAGGCTTCCAAGCCTTCATTTTCCGATGTTGCAGTTGGTTTCCGAATAACACCCTTTACGGTATCGATCGAGCTTCGTAAAGTTGTGTACTGCAATTGTCATATGTTTATTTTCCTCGTTCGTTTATCAATTTCTGCGGTTGTAATCGTGAGTAGTCGCATTACCCGCGTAGCATAAACACAGCGCAGAACACAACGTACCTGTAGACCCCACGCATATTCCACGCGGAACATAAAATTCACAACGCGCGCGCGCAACGCGCTCGCGCGCAACTCCTCACATAACACACACACACACATCACGCATACACGGACATACCGTGCAAGTTTTGGGGTGAACAACACATCGGTGACGGAGCGTGCGTGCGTATTCACGCATAATACAGGATCGCCATTACATTTGATTGATCCCGCCCCCCCCCCCGAGCCTCCGAGGTTTTTTGGGGGTGGGAGGATCAGACACCTGTAAGGACGATCTTGTATTAACCTTGAATACGCAGGCACGCTCCGTCACCCATGTGTTGTTTAGCCAAACGCTTGCAACGTATGCCCGTGTATGTGTGATGTGCGTGTTCTGTGAGGAGTTGCGCGCACACACACACACACATGCCTATGTATATACGTACATATACATCGCACACGTGCGCGTGGATCCAAGCACGTACGTGTATGGATGTACATTAATACACCAGATAAGGTGTGTATATGTACATACATACACGTACGTGCGTGGATCCACGTGCACGTGTGCGATGTATATGTACATACCCTGGGGGTCCGATCCACGTTCTTTGTCGAGGGTTCACGATCGTGGGACATCGACCACGATCGTGGATCCTCGATCACGATCGTGGATCCCCGATCACGATCGTGGATCCACGATCTACGATCGGGGAGATCAGGATCCGCGATCACGATCGTGGATCCTCGATCACGATCGTGGATCCACGATCTACGATCGGGGATTTCAAGATCCACGATCACGATCGTGGATCCACGATCACGATTGTGGATCCTCGAAAAGAACGAGGATCGGAAGCCCAGGGCTCCTCCTCCTCCTCCTCCCCTCCTCCTCCTCCTCCTCCGCCTCCTCCTCCTGCTCCCCCCCCCCTTCTTCCTCCTCCTTCTCCCCCTTCCTCCTCCTTCTCCCCCTCCCGTTTCCCCTCCCCCGGACCTCTCCCAGGGTGCGTTCGGGTCAGCCTCTGCAGGCGAACCCGGCCATGGCGGCGAGGGCCTCGGCCCCGAGGAGGCGAGGACGCGGCCTAGGGGCTGGCGGCTTCGGTGCCATCCCTCCCCCCCCCGCGCCTCGCGCACCGCTGGGTCCGGGTGCCTCAGCAGCTCGTCCATCGCTAGCTGTGCGGCCGGGTCCGCGGGCACCCCGCACACCTCCTGCTCCGCCCGCGCGCTCCGGCCCGAGAAGCGGTGGCCAACGGGCATCGCCAGCGAGGTGCGGCGGCCCAGCCCCGCCGGCGCCGTCGCCGGCGAGGCCGCGGGGTGGGGCTCCGGGCCGGTCGGCGGCTCCGCCCCGCAGGAGCCGCGGCTGAGCGAGCGGGCGGCGGCCAGCTCGCTCGGCGCGGGGGCGGCGTCGGAAGCGGAGGCGCGGCGGCCCGCCCGGTCGCTGGAGGCCCAGGACGCCGTGGCGGAGGGCTGGTGCCCGTAGAGGAGCTCGTCGGCGCGGGCGCGGTCGCCCCCGCAGAGGGCCTGGAGCAGGTCCTCGCCGTCCTTTTGCGGCGGGCAGAGCGCCACGGCGGGGAGTCAGCGTCGTGGAACCCCTCTGAGAGGGCCACGGCGGTGGAACCCTGAGGATTTCTCATCCAATGCCCGCAGAAGGCATTGGATGAGAGACTCGCTCGCGAGGGGCCACGATATGGGGGGCAGAGGCCTGGGGGGGGGGAACGTCGACATGGAATCGGCGACGCGTCGCCGATAGATCGGCGATGGGCCCCGACGGAGAATCCGCACGTTCCTGGGCAGGTTGGGGCCATCGGGCCCCATATCGGCGATCTATGGACCATTAGGGGTCGATGCATCCCCTCCCCTGTGCCTATCCCCCCTATGCCCATCCCCCCCCCGACTCGATGATCCTCAGAATGTGTGTGTGTGTGTTGTGATGAATCGATTTTGCACCACCACGACCATATATATATATATATATATATATATATATATATTTCTCCCCCACGGCCTCTCCCAGACCTCCACCAGCTCCTTGCGCAGCCATCGCGCCCACCCGCGCACCACCACTACCATATATGTTGGGGATCAGGGAGAGCACGCAGACGGTGAGGACATTGGATAAGAAACCCTCTCGATGATCCTCAGAACGTGCGCTAGCGCCAACGTGCGCTGGTCCACCGAAGCCCTTCAACGAGACGCAGGCGGTGCTATGAGGGCTGGCACAGGCTGCGTGCAATCGGCGGAACCGGATGCGGCAAACACACATTGGGCTAAGACACGTTCTGAGGATCCTCGACGGCATTGGTGCAAGAGTGACCCTAGGAAAGAGTGACTTGGTGTGCAACTTTCGGGGGCCGTGGGGAGGCTAAAACTGGGCGCGCAGGACGCTGCTATCGCAGCGCGTTCAGCCATCTGGGTACCGCAATTTGCCCGCACCAAAGGTCACTCCGGCGAAAGGTCACTCTTCCGTGTAGCCGAATTGGATGAGGAATCCTCAGATCAGGAATCCAGCGTCTGAAAGCCAGTGGAACTCCAATTGAGGCGTGGGGCCATGAATATCCCCGCCGCCCTCAACAGATGATGAGCGGCAACGATACAGGGGGACTGGCATAGGAGGGAGGCATCGACCTGGAATCGACGATACATCGCCGACAGATCGGCGATGGGCCCCTGATAGCAAAGCCGCACCCTCCTGGGCGGGTTGGGGCTATCGGGCCCCTATCGGCGATCCATGGGCGATTGGGGGTCGACGCGTCCCCCCCTATGCCTATCCCCCCCCTATCGCCGCCCCCGAGATGAGGAACCCGCCAAGATCTGAGGCCACCTGGGCACATCCTCCTCAACCAGCGCTCCCACCGTAATTGAAGGGGCCCTGGGACACACAAATAAATACACACAAATAACAATATGTCCCATATTTGTTCCTATTTTCTGGGTTTCTGTCTTCCCCCCCACTTCCCATCATTTCCCATGTTTTCCTGGGAATCGATGATTAATTGTGTCTGTGTGTCTTTTCCCCTCCTGAGCAATTACTCCCCGAAGCTCTCCCCAGGCGCATCCCGTGCCCAACTTCGGAGAGGAGTCCGGCCGTGGCGAGGGCAGGCGCTCCGGCAGACGAGCAGCGGCATGCCCGGGCATCCTCCGACGTTGCTGTGGCAACTCATGGGAGCCTCCCACACCATCTTGTCGGCTCTTGCGAACGGACACGGATCGACTCACGCGAACGGACACGGATCGACGCTAAATCGACGCTCATCGACGCTACATCGACGCTATATCGACGCCTAGCCGACGCTACATCGGCGCTATCGCATCGACTCCAGACGGCAGTCGACGCCAGTCGACGCTGAAGACGGACTGTAGAGGGTATACCAGGCTCCGAATATATATACATATATATATATATATGGGTATATTTTTTCCCGCCCGTCCCACAGATGCCTCCGACCGATACCAGGCTCCGACTGTGCAATACTTGCCGAACGATGTGCTTTCTATTCGATCCGCGGCCCCCCAGCGCTTCCGACCCGCTCCCCACGGGGGGCAGTTTTGCGCCCCGGAGCTCTTCTGATGGGCCCAGGGCCCTACAAAGCCGAGATCGAGGAAAGACCGTGGGAATCCCAAACTTGGCGGCGCGCAGAGGGAAGTGGGGGGAGGGGGGTCGGCTTCTTAGAAGCACCCCTGCTTCTTCGAATGCGCGTGCCTTGTCTGTAGATGTAATGCCGGCGCCTTCTACGAAGCAGCTTCCTTCTAAGAAGCCTTCCCCCCTCCCCCCTGCCTCCCTCTGCGCGCCGCCAACAAACCCCCGATGTCAGGACTTCGCCGCAGCGTGGGTCCCCCGAGGGAGCGGCTTCTCCCTCCGGAGTCGCTCTTCGGCGGCCCCGAGGCCCGGCAGGGGCCCGCAGACGCCGAACATGGCGAAAGACCTTGCGTCATCATCTTCTTCACGCGCGAGGGGGTCTGGGATATGGTATGGGGTGTGGGTCGAGGTCGAGAGAGAGAGAGAGATCATCGTCGGAGATATGGGGTATGGGTCGGGGTCGAGGTCGATATGAGTCGGGAAAACATCTCGTCGGAGAGCTGGGGTATGGGTTGAGGTCGACACGCCCGCGGCGCACGGCCGCCGCCCGGTGGCGGCGGCCGGTGGCCGCGTGAGAGGCGGGAGGCGAGAGGGGGAACAAGCCCGAGTGAGGAGGCGGGAGGCGAGAGGGGGAAGGAGGGGGAGGAGGGGGAGGAGGGGGAGAAAGAGGAGGATGAGGAGAAAGGCGGGGGAGGAGGAAAAGGAAGAGGAGGAGTAGAAGGAGTAGGAGGGGGATATCGAGGATGATGAGGAGGAGGAGGCAAGAGGAGGAGAAGGAGGACTAGGAGGAGAAGGAAAAAGAGGAGGAGGAAGAAGAGAAGGAGGCGGGAGGAGGAGCAGGAGGAGGAGGCAGGAGGAGGAGGAGGATGAGGAGGAGGAGGAGGACGACCAGTAGAATAAACCCAATACGCATCAACGATGTGGCAAAACGCCCTCCCTCCAAGTTCTCTCTTCGTAGGTCCCTAAAAGGGTTTGCTTTCATTGCGGGAGGCGGCCCATTAGAAGCCAACCGTCTGGGAATCCTCAACAGTGCCAAGAGACATTTCGCAGACTTCATCGCCGCACATCAAGGTGAATGTTGCGTCCTGGCATCCTAGTTCTTGTAAATTCAGCACCGCGAGAACACACATCCTGGGACATTGACCATGCACATCCTTAAAACTATTGCAAGCTTACAAGTCGAATGTGCACGGCGCTGAGGCGAGAGCCACCACCCGCCCTCCATCCTTGAAGTTGCTGCAAGCTTTAAACAACGAATGCGCGCGGCGCGAAGGCGGGAGCCACACTTTGAAAACCACCCGCCCTCCATCCTTGAAGCTGCTGCAAACTTACAAGACGAAGGCGCGCGGCGCCAAGGCGGGAACCACATCTTGAAAACGACCCGTCCTCCACCCGTGAAGCTCTTGCAAGCTCTGAGAACGAATGCGCGCGGTGCGAGAGCCACATGCTTTGAAATCGGCCCGCCCTCAATCCGTGAAGCTGTGGAGGAGGAGGAGGAGGAGATCTGTGAAGCTGTTGCAAATTTCAAATGTCATGATCATACATGGCGAGGAAGTCTCGGGCGAAAAGCCCGGCCCGCCCTGCCCATACGTCTCGGGGCGCGACAGGTGGGAGTGACTCATGAGGGAAAGGGATGGAAGAGGAAGAGATGGAGGAGGAGAAGCTCGAGGAGGAGGAGAAAGATCGATGAGTGTGGGCTTGGAGACAAAGAATGCCAGTAACATAAAAACTCGGAAGTCCGCGCAAATTCCTTTGATCGGCGCTGGGTCCCCGTCCCTGGTGCGCGGGATGCGCCAGGGGCGGCGCCGGAGGCGCCGCCAGGGGGATGCAGCGCCGATCCGAGAATTTGCGCGGACCTCCGAGTTTTTGTTTATGTTTATGTCATTGTCTGTCCCCCGATGGGTACCTTCTCCTCCCGCGAGTCCTGGAGCAAAGAGGAGGAAGAGGAGGAGGAGGAGGAGAAGGAGGAGGACAAGGAGATCGAGGAGATCGAGGAGGGGGAGGATGAGGATCCAGGAACGCGGGTACCTCCTCCTCCCGCGAGTCCTGGACCTCCCCCGCGGCGTCGTCGCGGAGCATGGCCGCCAGCTCCGCCGCCGCAGCAGCGCCCACGTGCCGGAGCACTGGCGGCACCGCGCCCCTCACGCGCAGAGGACACCTCAACACACCACTGCCGTGGCTGGTCTGGTTCATCCTGGGCCCAGGTGTACGAAGACGAAGCCAGCACGAGGGCCAATTCGGGTGAGGATAAATCGGGAATCTCTGAGACCCAGCGGCTCTGGAGGATGTCTCGGGATGGCGTCTCTGGGAGATAGATAGATCGACGGCTCTGGGACAGGATAGCTCGAGAACCTCTGGGATAGATCGAGAACCTCTGGGATAGATCGATCCTCACTCCAAGCCAGGAGTGAGGATACATCGGCTGAGATCCGGCGGCTCTGGAGGATGCCTCGGGCGCCAGGACCTGAGCGCTCCAGCACGCTCTGCACCGGATCGATCCTCGTCCTGGCCCCGCCCGGTGTTTTCCCTGAGAGCTGGGCCTCGCGGCCGTTTTTCTATTATTCTTGTCTTAGCTTAAGCTCAGTTTTGGCTTAGCTATAGCTTAGCTTTAGCTTAGCTTTAGCTTAGCTTTAGCTTAGCTTTAGCTTAGCTTTAGCTTAGCTTTGAATGCTGCTTTCCTAGGGGCTCCAACTCCTAGGTAGGGTCGCACTGGCATCATTCTGTTCCTGTCTTCTGCGCCGGGCGGCTTCGCCCGTTCTCGGGCCCGGGGGCCACCAGAAGTCGATGCGGCTCGAGCAGTGCCGCGGGGAGCCGGGGTCCAGGGCTCCGGGCGTGCTTGCCTCACGGCGTGGCGCCCTCGTCGCAGCGTCAGACCTCGCGGTGCGCCCGCCTGGCCCAGGCCGGGAGGTCTATGCTCGAGAACAGAGAAGCCAGCCTCATCAGAATCCCCCCGACACGCGAGGTCGTTTAGCAGACGCACCCAGAGAAGGGATCAAACAGGTCAGGGCTGCACAGTAAACGCTCAAGGCCGTTTAGCAATCGCCGATTATCGGGTCTGGCTGGTTTTTCCTCCCTTGATGTACGCCATCCTGGGGCTCAGGATGGCCCTGGCCAGGCACGGTGGTAGTGTACAGATGCCCTCTGCGGACCTCACCGCCTCGTGCGGGTCCTTCAGGAGCCCCGCCACCTCTCAAGGAATCCAAAGCTTCACAAACATGAATTTTCGGGGTCCGCGCAGATTTCTAGGGGTCCAGCGCCGATCCACAAAATCATGACATCCGCAGGGAGCTCTGAATGGTTACGTTTGCGACGTGTGAGGTCGTTCGAACAACCCTCGCCATCGCTATCGTCATCTTCATCAGCATCAGCATCATCGTCATCATCAGACTGATCACCATCCTGGTCATCATCATCATCAGCATCATCATCATCAGAAGCAGCATCAGCATCAGCGCCATCATCATCATCATCATCATCATCATCATCATCATCATCATCATCATCATCAGCAGCAGCAGCAGCAGCAGCAGCATTAGCATCATTACCATCATAACCATCATCAGCTACCGTCATCGTCATCATCAGCATCATCATCAGCATCGTCATCATCATCTTCATCATAATCATCGTCGTCATCATCCTCATTCTCATCCATCACGATCACCATGACGATCACAATTACCATCACACCACTACCCTCCTTCTCCTGATTACCTGATTACCTGATGGCACGAAGGTCGTACTGACGTTGACACCCGTCTTCCCCTCCCCCTCCTCCTCCTCCTCCTCCTCCTCCTCCTCCTCCTCCTCCTCCACAGCATCATCAGCATCATCATCATCATCATCATCATCATCATCATCATCATCATCATCATCTCCATCACCTCCATCATCACTAATTACATCACCGTCACCATCACCGTCACCATCACCACCACCGCCAGCATCATCATCACCATCATCATCAACATCATCATCAACATCGTCATCACCATCACCATTATCATCATCAGCATCATCATCAGCAGCATCATCACCACCACCATCATGGCCAGCATCGCTATCATCATCATCAGCAGCAGCATCATCATCAGCATCATCACCATCGCCATCATCATCATCCTCATCATCATCAGCAGCAGCAACAGCACCTTCCGCATCAGCATCATCATCATCACCATCATCATCACCAGCAGCAGCATCATCACCGTCAGCATCATCCTCAGCATCATCACCACCAGTATCATCATCACCACCACCATCATCATCGTCAGCAGCATCATCATCACCATCATCAACATCACCACCACCACACCCACTATCTTCATCATCATCACCCTCATCATCATCATCATCATCATCATCAACATCACCATCACCATCACCATCGCCATCATCATAATCATCATCATCAATATCCCCATCCTCATCATCATCCTCATCCTCGTCATCATCATCCTCATCCTCATCTTCATCATTGATAATCGTCATCATCATCAGAATCAGCATCATCAGCATCGCCATCATCATCACCCTCCTCCTCACCATCCTCACCATCCTCATCACCACCACCACCATCATCAGCAGCATCAGCATCAGCATCATCATCAGCAGCGTCATCATCATCCTCATCATCATCATCACCATCCTCACCAGCATCGCCATCCTCCTCCTCCTCCTCCTCCTCCTCCTCCTCCCCCTCTCCTCCTCCTCCTCCTCCTCCTCCTCCTCCTCCTGCCTCCTCCTCCTCCTCCTCCTCCTCCTCCTCCTCTCCTCCTCCTCCCCTCCTACCTCCTCCCTCCTCCTCCTCCTCCTCCTCCTCCCCCTCCCCTACCCTCTCTCCCTCCTCCCTCCTTTCCTCACCTCCTCCTCCTCCTCCTCCTCCTCCTCCTCCTCCTCACACCCTCTCCTCCCCCTCCTCCTCTCCTCCTCCTCCTCCTCCTCCTCCTCCTCCTCCCCTCCTCCTCCCTCCTCCTCCTCTCCTCCTCCTCCTCTCCTCCTCCTCCTCCTCCTCCTCCTCCTCTCCTCCTCCTCCTCCTCCTCCTCCTCCTCCTCCTCCTCCTCCTCCTCCTCCTCCTCCTCCTCCTCCTCCTCCTCCTCCCCCTCCCCTCCTCCCACGCCAACCCCCCAGGCCCCAGGCCCTTCCGCACTCCCGCCACCTTGGCCGCGTACCCGCCCGCCGCCTCCGGGCCGTAGCGCAGCAGGGCCTCGAGCGCCCCGCGCCTCACGCGCCAGTCCGGGTGCCGCAGGGAGGCGCGCAGCCTGTCGCCGTCCGCCGGCTGCACCTCGGGGGCTCCTCCTCCTCCTCCTCCTCCTCCTCCTCCTCCTCCTCCTCCTCCTCCTCCTCCTCCTCCTCCTCCCTCCTCTCCTCCTCCTCCCCTCCTCCTCCTCCTCCTCCTCCTCCTCCTCCTCCTCCTCCTCCTCCTGATGTTGAGTCCTTCCTAGTCGTTTGTAAGAGGTGCGGCCGCTACAGCGAAAGCAACCTCAAAGGACTCAAAGGTGAATGTAAGGAGCGCTTCCAAAGCAGGTTCTCCCAAGGTGCGTGGTCCCTCCTGGCAAGCGGCCGTCATCCCAAGAGCAGCATGAAGGCCCGTCCCCGACTTTCCCTGCCAATCCCTGCAGCCCAGCTCCTCAAGGAAGGAGGGGCGACGTAGGGAAGAAAGCCAGCGTAAGAGGAGAGCGGATGTAACCTCCAGGTTTCGGTTAGGGTCGGGTCGGCCTAACCCTAGCCTCCCTCATTAGCATGCGATGGTCCTCCTCCTCCTCCCTCCTCCTCCTCCTCCTCCTCCTCCTCCTCCTCCTCCTCCTCCTCCACCTCCTCCTCCTCCTCCTCCTCCTCCTCCTCCTCCTCCTCCTCCTCCTCCTCCTCCTCCTCCTCCTCCTCCTCCTCCTCCTCCTCCTCCTCCTCCTCCTTCCTCCTCCTCCGCCTCCTCCTCCTCCTCCTCCTCCTCCTTCCTCCTCCTCCTCCTCCTCCTCCTCCTCCTCCTCCTCCTCCTCCTCCCCCCAGAACTCCATCAAGGCCCCCGCCCGCCCCCAGGGCCAGGCACGCGCAGGGGGGGGCCGGGTGGGGGGACGTCTTCTTGGAAGGAGGCTGCTTCTTAGACGGCGCGGGTCTCATTTCTAGATGCAGGGCCAGCGCCTGCCAACACCCTGAGATCCTGGCGACTCAATTTTTTCGAGCCGGGCGTTTGCGTTCGTCTTCGGGCCCCGGGGCCCTCACAGATCGATCCGGCTCGAAAGGTGACGCAGGAAGATGGGGTCCAGGGCTCCGGGCGCGGATTTTCAGGATGTTGCAATTGTTCCCCTACGTCGCATCTCAGGGGCCCCGAAAAAGGTGCCCGAAGCTTTTCCTTCTTTGGGGGGAGAAAAGGAAAATCGGACACCCAGACCTCCAACGCATCGAGCAAGGTCGATGCTGAGGTTCTCGTCATTGTCGCACTCCTGGGGCCCTCACCGGGTCCCTGGGCCGTCAAAAAGCGACTCAGGACGCAAAGCCGGTTCTGGGGCAAGGGTCGGGACTTGGGGATCATGCATTCACCCCAGCATACGGCAGATTCGTGTCGTGTCGACCCGGGCGTTGGATACTGACACTGCGGGGCTCATTCGTCCTTGAACGGTCGACCTTGAAATCACCGTCCGATCGTTCAACATCGACCGATTCTTGGCCGCTGCCGGCGTTCAACGTTGAACGCCGGCGGCGGGGTCGCTGCCAGTCGACACGACACGGCACAGCTGTAGCCTCGGCGGGACGGCGCCAGTGCCATCTCGAGGACCTCACACGGCCGCGAGTGCTGGGCTCTCGCACGCGCCGGTCGCGTCAGGAGGGAGAGGAGGGCGGAGACGAGGAGGGGACGAGGAGGGGGGGAGAGAATGCCTGGTGCAAGGTAGGCAGGCACCGAAACTGCTCCTCTCGCGTTACGACAAGAACCACGGCGAGTAAGCTTTGGCAATTTGGGGGCCTCCGGGGGCCCTCGCTGGGCCACGGCACCATCAAAAAACCGCTCGGGACGACAAACCGGCCCCAGAGACCTCACCAGCCCTGGGTGGGATGCGAGAGGCGGAACTGTCATTGCGTCCTGCATAGGAGCGTCCTGCGCGGATCCAGCATAGGAGACGCCAGCATAGGAGCGTCCTGCGCGGATCCAAGTTAGTCCTCAATATCCCTGGGGGGGAGGTGGGGGGTGGGGGGGGAACTGCAAAAGTGTGCTTTTTCGAGGGCTGCCCTGGGGCTCCTCCTCCTCCTCCTCCTCCTCCTCCTCCTCCTCCTCCTCCTCCTCCTCCTCCACCCCCATCGGGATTCAGGCGACCTCCTGCGCAGATCCAGACTAGACCTCACCCCTCCTGGGGGTGCTGCGGTATGCGGGCCTGTGGCCGCTTTCGCGAGGGCTGCTGGGGCGGGCAGGTTAGGTGGCGCGCCACGTTGACGTGGGTTAGACCTCGCCACTCCCGGGGGGTCTGCAAAACTGCTGCCACGTTCGAGGGCTGTTTTCTTTCGAGGGCTGCTGGGGGGGGGGGGGAGGGGGGCAATCTAGTGGCGTCCTGCGCGGATTCGTATCAGACCTCACGGCCCCAGACCTGCGAAACTGTCGCTACGTTCGAGGGCTGCTGGGGGACGGGGGGTGGCACAGCAGCGACGTCATGCGCAGATTCAGGAGCGGCCTCACTATCCCTGGTGGGCTGCGAACTGCGCAGCCGTCGCCATGCTCGAGGACTGCGTGTGCGGGGGGGGCAGCAGAGGGACGCCCTACCCAGGTTCAGATTAGACCTCACCATCCTCGGGGGGGGGCTGCGAGCTGCGAACCCGTCGCCGCGCTGAAAGGCTGCTGGGGGCGCAGCAGAGTGCCGTCCTGCGCATAGTTGTATTTGACTTCACCGTCTGCGATCTACGAACCTGTCGCCGTTTTCGAGGGCTGGGGGGGGACCACAGTCACATCCTACGAAGATTCAAGTTCGACATCACCATCCCTGGGGTGCTGCGAAACTGTCGGTACGTTCGAGGACTGCTGGGGTGGCCAGCATAGCGACGTCCTGCGCATATTCACCTTCGACCTCACCATCCTTGGGGGGCTGCGAACCGCGAAACCGTCGCCACTTTCGAGGGCTTCTGGGGGGATCAGCATAGTGACGTCCTACGCAGAGTCAGATTCGACCTCGCCATCCTTGGGGGCCCTGCGAAGCGTGAAACTGTCGCCACTTTCGAGGGTTAATGGGCGGGACCAACATAGGGACGTCCTACGCGGATTCAGACTCCACCTTGCCATCCCGTGGGGGCTGCCATCCCTGCCACCTGCGAAACCGCCGCCACTTTCGAGGGCTGCCAGATTCGCATCAGCCCTCACCACCCCGGGGGGCTGCGACGTCCTACGCAGATTCAGATTCGACCTCATCATCCCTGAAGGGCTGCGAACTGCGAAACTGTCGGGGGCTTCTGGGGGATCCAGCATAGTGGCGTCTTACGCAAATTCAGATTCGACCTCGCCATCTCTGGGGGCTTCGAGTTGCGCAATTGCCGCCACTTTTGCGGACTGCGGGGGGGGGGTCCTGCATAGTGACGGAGGCAGATTAGACCTCACCATCCTGGAGCGGGTGCGAACTGCGAAACGGTCGCAACTTCCTGGGGCTGCTGGGGGGGGGGGGGCACCATCGTGGGCATCCGCCGCGGATTCAAAAATTTCACTTCGCCATCCCTGGGGGGCTGAGAAGCGTGAAACTGCCGCCTCTTTCAAGGGGTGCCAGAGGGGCCAACATAACGGGCATCTGCCGCGGATTCAAATTACACCTCGCCATCCCTGGGGGGCTGAGAAATGTGAAACTGCCACCACTTGCGATGGGCTGCTGATGGGGGCCAGCACAGTGGGCATCCGCCGCAGACTCAGGCTAGACCTCGCACTCCTGGGGGGCTGTGACATGTGAAACTGTCGCCATTTTCGAACGATGCAGGGGGGGGCAAGCATAGTGGGTATCCGCCGCGGACTCAGCCTGGACCTCGCCATCCTTGGGTGGCTGCGACGTGTGAAACTGTCGCCATTTTCGAGGGCGACTGTGGGGGCCAGCATAATGGGCATCCGCCGCAGATTCAGACTACACCTCGCCATCCCTGGGGGGACTGCGAAGTGTGAAACAGTCGTCGCTCTCAAGGGCTGCTGTCGACGCCGGGCGATAGGACGCGGACCACCTGGACGCCCTGTGGCTGCGTCTCTACGTGATGATCTCGAAGGCCAGGAATGTTGTCGATTCCTGGATGATAGGGGACCTGGGGCTAGACTTTCTTTCCCGCTGGCCGCCTCGCCCTCTTGTCGGTGTAAGTCCCGCGCCGCGTGCGCCTCCCCTGCAGCCCCCGCGACGGTGGACGATTTATTGAAGTGTCATCGCGGTGATATTTTTTGCTGACGGTCCTCTTCCTTTCCTCCTCCTCCTCCTCCTCCTCCTCCTGCAGCCTCCTCCTCCTCCTTCTCCTCCTCCTCGGCCGCGGGTCTGTCCTCGTCCCTCCCCGTCCCCTGCCGGGCCGCCCTTGCCGGTGCGCCTCCTGCGCGGCATCCTCCTCCCCCTCCTTCTCCTCCCCGTAATTAGCTGACTAGACTCTTTCCCGCTTGCCCCGCGGTCCCCACGGCGACGAGGTGCGGGGCCAACTCTGGCGCCGCCAGGCCGAGATAAGAGGAGGAGGAGGAGGAGGAGGAGGAGGAGGAGGAGGAGGAGGAGGAGGGGAGAGGAGGGGGAGGAGAGGAGAGATAGTGGGAGGAAGGAGAGGAGGAGGAGGAGGCGAGGAGAGGAGGACGAGGAGGAGGAGGAGGAGGAGGAGGAGGAGGAGGAGGTAGGAGCAGGAGGACAGCAGCATCAGGAGGAGGGGTGAGCTCAATCCCCGCCGAAGGAAAAACAGGGGGGGGGGGGGGGGTGGGGGGCGACGGCAACCAAAGGACCTCCCGAGGCTCCGCCGCGGGGGTCACCCCACGACGCGAGCGCGCCCCCGGGGCAGGACGAGCAGCGGCGTCGGTGCCCCTTCGCCCCGCGCGCGCGCCTCCTCCCCCGCGAGGGCGCCCGCGGCCAGGCCCCGCGCCTCGGGGTCGTCGCCGGACAGCAGCGCGACCACCTCGGGCGCGAACAGCGCCTCCTTCACGCCGTGCCGCCGCAGGGCCACGCCCGCCCCCAGCTTGACCTCTCTCTCTCGGCGGCGGGCGCGGAGGGGGAGAGGCTTCGGGTTCGAGGGCGTTCTCGGGCGCTCTCGTCGCGTCTCGGCGGTCTTCCCGCCTCGGGATGCTTGCCAGCAGCTGCGCCTCGCCGAGGGCGTTCCGGGGGTGCCCTGATCGTCCCGAATGCCCGCTGGTCGGCGTCTTCGGGGAGCGCTCAGAAAACTTCTCAGAAGGCCAGGAGACCTCCCAGCCTTCTGCTGAGAAGGCCCGCCCTTTCTCACTTCCCCCCCCGGGCTCGCCGCCGGCTTTCGGAGCAGGGCGAGGTGAGACAACCCTGGGATCCAGGCGTTGCACTTTTGTCACACCCGACGTCTGCGTCTGGGTTCGGGCCACGGGGCCGTCAGGGATCGATCCAGCTCGCAACAAAAATTGGGGCAGAAAGGTGGGGGGTCTCTGGGGCTTCTGTCGTGATTCTTCGTGGTCTTGCTATCTTTTCGCCACGTCGGATCTCCGGGAGCGGCAGCTCAAAGTCGCTCCGCGGGGTCCAACCGCAGAAGTTGTTCAAGCTGCGTCCAGCCGTGGCGACGAGGGTGATAAGCAATAAAAGTACCCCTGACTATTGGGAGGGGACCTAAGGTAGGAGGGCCAAACACATCAGGGATATGAGTCTTTTTTGCCGATGTGTATGTTTAGGGATATCCCTAAGGACCGTGGACCTAAGTTAGGCCACACATTGATTATGTCATTGAGGTTATGGGTTGCATTCTGCTTGTCAAGCTGCGTCCAGCCGTGGCGACGATAGGGCGATAATGATGTCATGCTAAGATTGGCTCAGGATGCGCTCCACGATTTCCAGAAAGTACCTAGCGGCCCTCGTTTCTGCAGCCCGTGGAAGCTTTGGAACATGTGTAGAGGCCTCCCAGATGGGGTCGGAGCAGATGGGGTCGGAGGATCGCGCCGCATTGCCGATGCATCGGCGATGCATCGGCGATGCACCGGCGATGCATCGGCGATGCAGCGTCGTCGTCGGCGATGCATCGGCCACGTGGACGTGAAGCGAATCGGGCTGCACAGCGAGCCGCATCGGCGATGCGGCGCGATCCTCCGACCCCATCTGCTCCGACCCAAGCTAGGAGGCCTAGAGTCTTGCAGCGCATTACTCGCATGACCCCTCGCTCCCCTGAGACGCGGAGGCCCCCCCCCCCCCACGGAGGCCAACCGTCTTGGAGCTTACTCTTAGGTCGGGCGTGTCCACCTACAGGCTGATTTTGGACGAGAAACAAACAAATACGCAAAAATATGCAAACCCCAAACATCGTCCTCATATCATCTTTTTAACTGTTTTGGAATACTCCTCCTGCAGAGGGACAGGCCCGACTTACCATTGCTCTCATCACCCCTCGCTCCCCCGGCGGCACTATCGACGCAAAGCTGCATTATTATGGCGGCATTATCGGCATTATCATGAATGCATCGGCAGCAGAGAGTTGTAATTGTTTCACTCCGCGTGCGGTATCGGACCGGGCTTCGTGCTCGTACGGGACCTTGACCTTGACCCTCGCTCCCCCGAGACGCCGAGGCCCCCCCCCCCGCCAGGAGACCCACTGCGGTGGCGTATCAGCGCTCGCCCCCAGGTGCTCGCCTCGGCAGCCCGCGAGGCCCGGCCCACGGGCTCTCTCTCTGCGTGGCCGCCTCTCCGCCCCGCACGGGGGGGGCCTCCGCGCGAAGGCCCCCCTCTCGGGGACCGGGGGCCATGAGATCCTGGCGACTCAATTTTTTCGAGCCGGGCGTTCTTCGCCGTTTTTCGGGTCCCGGGACCCTCATAGATCGATCCGGCTCGAAAAATCACGCAGAAAGATCGGGTCCGGGGCTCTGGGCGCGGACTTTCACGGTGTTGCAATTTTTTCGCTACGTCGGATCTCAGGGGGAGACGAAGGGGGCCCCGACCCAGTCGAGCAAGGACAAAAATCATGATGGCAGGCTTGCACTATTTTCGGCCTCTGGGGGCCCTCACCGGGGCCACGGGGCCGTCAACAGACACGACTCGGGGTGAGAATCCGGCCCCTGGGAATAGGTCGAGACCTGTGGGGGTCGACGCCATGAAAAGATCATGACGTCGGAGGTCTGGGATCCAGACCCAGACCGACTACACGTCGTTCATTTCAAATCGTGCTCATTTCAAATTGTGCTCGTTTCTAAATGTTCCTGGCCCCCTAGTGGCCAGGAAGAGGCCCAGGATAGAACAATCAGAAATGAAAGGATCTTGGCCCCCCAAAAAATTATGCTAACGGAGTTCCCCACATAAAGAGATTAACGGTTTCGTGGGACCCATTTTCTTGATGCCCTCCTCGCTTTGGCGGGGCCCCGCTGGAAGGGGGGAGGGCTACGAAACCTGGCGAAGAGTAATGTTTTCCGATACCCTCCTCGTTCAGGCGGGGCCTCCCTGGAGGGGTGGGAGGGGCACGAAACCATGTAAATAGTATGGTTTTCGGATACCCTCCTCGCTCAGGCGGGGCCTCCCTGGAGGGGTGGGAGGGGCACGAAACCATGTAAACAGTACGGTTTTCCGATACCCTCCTCGCTCAGGCGGGGCCTCCCTGCAGGGGTGGGAGGGGCACGAAACCATGTAAATAGTATGGTTTGCGGATACCCTCCTCGCTCAGGCGGGGCCTCCCTGGGTAGGGGTGTGGGGGGGGGGGGGGAACGGGCACGAAACCATGTAAATGTATGGTTTGCGGATACCTCCTCGGCTCGGCGGGGCCTTCCCTGGGTCTGGGGTGGGGGGCAGAAACAATGTAAATAGTATTGTTTTCCGAGACCCTCCTCGCTCAGGCGGGGCCTCCCTGGAGGGGTGGGAGGGGCACGAAACCATGTAAATAGTATGGTATTCCGATACCCTCCTCGCTCAGGCGGGGCCTCCCTGGAGGGGTGGGAGGGGCACGAAACCATGTAAATAGTATGTTATTCCGATACCCTCCTCGCTCAGGCGGGGCCTCCCTGGAGGGGTGGGAGGGGCACGAAACCATGTAAATAGTATGGTATTCCGATACCCTCCTCGCTCAGGCGGGGCCTCCCTGCAGGGGTGGGAGGGGCACGAAACAATGTAAATAGTTTGGTTTGCGGATACCCTCCTCGCTCAGGCGGGGCCTCCCTGCAGGGGTGGGAGGGGCACGAAACCATGTAAATAGTATGGTTTGCGGATACCCTCCTCGCTCAGGCGGGGCCTCCCTGGAGGGGTGGGAGGGGCACGAAACCATGTAAATAGTATGGTTTGCGGATACCCTCCTCGCTCAGGCGGGGCCTCCCTGGAGAGGTGGGAGGGGCACGAAACCATGTAATAAGTATGATATGGTATGGTATGGTACTGGAGGTATGGTATGGTATGGTACGGTGTGGCAGTGGTGTGATATGGTATGGTATGCTATGGTACGCCATGGTATGGTATGGTACGGTATGGTACGTATGGTGTGGTATGGTATGGTATGGTCTGGTATGGTATGTGTGGTAGGAACTATGGTATGGTATGGTGTGTGTGGTAGGAATAATATTGTGCTGTATGGAAGATGGAGCGGGAGGTGGGTGGGAAGGAGAGGGTGTTCTGGGAAAACAAGAACCCCACTCAGGATGTGGGGAATCAAAGAACTTCCGAATAATTAGACATGAACAATGTGTAAGTCGAAACCTCTGGGGGTCGACGACATGGAAAGATCATGACGTCGGAGGCCTGGGGTCCAGACCCAGACCGACTGACCGACTGCCTTCGAGGAGGCGCGGGACTCGGGCTCGGGAGGCTCGGCCGGGCCCGACGGGGCCACCGTGAGGATGGCGGGGCCCAGCCTGAGATTGAAGGCGAGCTCCCGCTGCAGACGTCCCACGACAACCGCACCGCCAAAATCCAGGACGCGCTCGCCAAGGAGCGTCGGCAAACGCGAGCTCTGGCGTTCTCGAGTCTTACGTTGACCCGATACCTGCCGGACCACTCCAACCTGACCCGAAGACCCAACTTTCGGGTTGGGAGGGGTACGGGTTCCACGTGTGTTTTTCAATGTTCCCCGACGTTCCCCTCCCCCACTGGGAATGGAGGGCAAATTGGGGCCTTCGGGTTCGGTTGGTGTGGTCTGGTGGGTGGTGACAGACCCAGGCCCCTGCCGTCATGATTTTTTCGTAGCGTCGACCTCCGGAAGTCTCGACCCACTCCCCGGGACCAGCGGTTCATCCCGAGTCGTTTTTTGACGGCCCCGAGGCCCGGCAGGGGCCCAGAGAGGCCGAAAATAGGGGAGAACCTTCCGTCTCGATTTTGCCGAAACGCCGGGCCTCTGGGGTCCACGAGGGCTGATAAGAGGCGCTGTGGGGGGGAGGGGCGGGAGGGCGAGGAAAAACCTTCCGTCTCGATTTTGCCGAAACGCCAGACCTCTGGGGTCCACGAGGGCGTTGCTGTATTCGCGGTGAGACAGGGGCGCTTATGGGGGGGAGGGGCGGGAGGGGAGGGGGGGGAGGGAGCGCTGTGTGCGTCCAGCACCACAGACTGCCCTCCCCAGACTGTGGTTCCAGACGCACTGCGGCATTGCTGGGGGCGCCTGGAAGAGGGGGGGGAGTCGTTACGTTATTGGGGGGGAGCGGGGGGGGCGTAACGCCCCGATTGTGTCCCAGCACTGTCGCAGTGCGTCCAGCCCACAGACTTGTGGTGCCAGAACGCACTGCGTTCTGGCTGGGACGCATCGGGAGGGTGGGGGGGGGAGCGTTACTTTATGGGGGGAGGCGGGGGGGGGGGGCATAAGGCGCGTCGCCCAGACCCCTGACGTCCTGATTTTTCAATGGCGTCGGCCGTCGACCCCCAGAGGTCTCGACCCATTCCCCCCGGACCGGCTTTTCATCCTGAGTCGCTGCTTGCCGGCCCCGAGGTCCAGCAGGGGCCCCCAGAGGCCGAGAGCAGCGAACAAGCTCCCGTCGTGATTGTTGTTCCTGTTGTTGTGACTCGAGGGGGTCTGGGTATGGTCCAGAGGGTTAAGCATGAGCGCCCTCCACGC